ATAGGGTAACTGGGATGGTGGGGTCAGAGGGCACTGGCAAGGAACTGTGAGCAGAGTAGAGAGAGGTGTTTGGCCATGGGTAAGACCTCAGCTTTGCTGTGCAGATGGGAAGCGGAGGCCATTTGAAGAGATCCCGTGGCTATGCGGAGGGCAGAGTTTTGAATGGTTTGCAGCTTGGAGATTGCCAAGGGAGAGGCATTAGGGAACCAAACTGGGGTAGCATAGGTGATGAGAGACTTTAGGTGATGAGAACTTTACTTCATAAACAGTTTTTGCTCCAGATTTTCAAATCAGGCTTTAAAACTAGTTAACTCATAGCCATAATTTCCAGAAAATTCTGTCCAATATATTCCAGATTAGCTTTTGATTGGGCCAGAAAGTTGCAGCTCAGTTTTGTAATGTTGATGAAATAATTTATTTTGAAAGCCAGCAACATTAAGTGACAAGTGCTCTCCTCTACTGGTAGTGACAAAGTGCAGCACTGCACTGACTGCAGCACAGTTAGCAGTCTGTGGAACTGATGGTAAACAACTGGAACAAGAAGCCTGGCATATTTATTAGTTTAGTGAACAAGGTAATGAAGATTCATGGTAATACTTTAGATTAAGTGCATCCAAAAAAAGGGTGTTTTTTTTAATTATATGTTTTTTGGGATGTAGATTAGGAATCTGAAATCCATTTTTGGTGGTCAGCATTTTTTTTATATATTTTCTATAGAAAACGAACCTAACCTAACCTAGCGCAATTTTTGGGTTTTACATAGGTTTACAGTCATTCCCAGATCGATATAGATCATTTCCAGTCTGTAAACCTATGTAAAACCCAAAAANGCATCAGTAGATCCCGTACGCCTGCATTACCCCCAGCCTCAGTAAATCCCGTACGCCTGCATTACCCTAGCCTCAGTAAATCCCGTACGCCTGCATTACCCCAGCCTCAGTAAATCCCGAACGCCTGCATTACCCCAACCTCAGTAAATCCCGTACGCCTGCATTACCCCAGCCTCAGTAAATCCTGTACGCCTGCATTACCCCAGCCTCAGTAAATCCCGTACGCCTGCGATACCCCCAGCATCAGTAAATCCCGTAAGTTTACATGCATCAGTAAATACCATACCTCTGCAATACCCCAGCATCAGATAAATCAATTAGAAGTGTACTACCATCTACAAGGATTAACCAATCTTTCAGAGTTGTTTGAATTGGTGAAAATAGATCCTGAGTTTGATATAAAAATTAATATTTACAGTATTTATGAAGGACTGAAATATGTCTTAGCAAGATAAATTGGATAAAGAAGGTAAAAAAATAGTCTGGGTGGCACTGTTTTCCTCGAACATAATTACACATGAAACAAAAATGCCTCATAACCATGCTGTTTTACTACAAATATTATAAGTCGTCAGTCCTGCATATGACCATTAACAGGAGTGCCTTACCGAAGAAAATAGCAATTGCCCACGTGGCCTAACAAGCACACATGAATAATCAACAGCATAAATAAATTCTATACCTAACAGGTGGATATTTATCCATAAACAGAAAATAATGCATTGACTGTCAAATTTTTTAAACTGAAAATCTTCAAATTTTATAACCTTGAACTTTCTGTTAAAAAACCAAATGTATTCCAAGTTACCTCTTTGCGGATCATGACGTCATTCTTGTAGTTTGAGTTGTTTGCATAACGCAGTTTGCCTGTGAAAATTATTGCAGACACTTTTTAATACATGAACCACATAAAATTACATTACATAACTAAAAACCTAAAATATTCAAATTAAACTACTGCATTTAAAAACAAAATCTTGCCTTACACTCAATAATGGATACCATGTAATTTCAATACTGTTTAAGAATACATTAATAAGGTAGAAATTAAATAATTTAACTTAAAACGCCATCACTCACCATCAGGACGAAACTCAAACTCGAGAAACTCATGTCCAAACTTTCCCTTGTGCCCTACATAATATCTTAAATAGAAGTCATTGGACGACATCTTTACAAAATAGATCTGTGGATAAAAGAATGACAATTAAATAGAATGGTCAACATAGACGTAACCATAGAAAATCAGGCGTTTCAAACAATAAATGATGAAAGAAAATACAACTTACTTTATAACCTAATCACCTGAATAACCAATAAAAATCATTATAAATGACTGCCAGAAAAAATTTGGCCATTCGCATTCAAAGCAATCTAATGGTATTTTAGGAGCATAAACACCAAATAAATTTTAAAGCATGTAAATTAAATGGATTTATGTAAATAAGATGAATTTTAAAGGACAAGCTAATGATGAAATTCTTTTAGCAAGAAGACACAACCAAATCGAAGCCACATGTTAATGGTCTATCTTTTCCCCAACCTTTTGGCCGGATGAAGTTTAAATTGCAACTGCTTGAATTAGAAAAAAAGGCAGGACACAATATTGGAAAAAATTATATAAATAGTGTGTTACTTGCTGACAAATCTCAAAATCAACCATTTGTGCACAATAAGAACAGTTGCAATTTAAACTTTGGATGGGGTATGGCCATATTTTAATATTTTTTATTCAAAAGAACACCCAATAGGTACATAATTAATTAATTACAATAAAATGACAGTAATCTGAAGCAAATGCAAGGATTTCTAAGACTTTCACAATAAACAATTTTATTGAACATGATGCGCACAACAAGGTAATATAAACACAATCAATTTGAAAGAACTTGTCTACATAAGCAGGCCAAAAGTTGAAAAGCCAGGATAAGTTTATAAATGGACAAAAAAGAAAAAATAGTAGAAAATCAATCTTACACCCAAGTGAGATGGTGAAGAAAAAGTCCCTAGAATAAATACTTGTACACACTTAATATTTTGTATTTGTAACTATTAAGCACACTTATAATGAGGCAGCCATCACACTAATAAAAGAGATCTCATGTTGCCTCATTTGTTGGCACTTGAACAAATTGGTCAGCTTTAAGACCCAATCTCTCCATAAGCGCAGAATCTTGTCCATCATGACGTGTTGCCAGTTGTTCCTTAAGGTGCAGAGCATTTTGGGGGTTATTTTTCAAACAACATCCCAGGGCAAAAATAACTGCTTCCTGAATAAGTGGATTGGCTTCATCTCTGCGACAACTGCAGAAAATTTCTTCAAGACCACCAACAGCACGTAATTCCTCTTGATTTTGAGCATCCTCATTTACAAGATTACCAAGGAGCTGCACGAGGTCACATCGAAGGCCTACCCCAGCATCTGCATTGACCAGTTGCAGTTGAGACCACCGGCTTGTAATATGTTCTTTGTTGGCTTCATTATCAGGCTGGAACGTAGCAATATTGAGAGCCTTCAAGAAAGAGACAGTGATGAGCAGTAAGGAGGCTTGAGATTTCAAAATCTTACAGTGTAGAGGACTTGCTGCAGCCCCCAGAACAGCAGCACATAATTCACGCAACACAAGAGGGTTAGATCCTTCAATTTGGCCAGCATCATTGCTCAAGATGACACCAACTGCATCCAAGTAAGTTTTACTCAAAAATTCAATCATAGGTACACTGGCAACAGCACCACGTTTGTGGGATGTTCCAGAAACAATTATGTTTTGACATATTGAAAGAACTAAAAGCTTTTGAGTGTCATTGAGATGTTCAAGCCAAATGACCCTAAAATATTTTAGGTCACAAAACTGACAAAAGATGATCTCAAGACAAAACAAAGCAAAACATGCATGCTGGGTTTCAACTGAATACACATTGCAAAATTTGGCAACAGCTTGGGCAAGAGGAAGAGTTTCTAAAAAGGATTGGCAGAGAGATTTTTGAAGAAGAACAGAAAAAATTACTGCACACCATTTTTGACCCACATGAACAGGCATCAACAGAAATACATCATAAATGCTTGAGAAAGTAAAAGCATTGCATAGCTTAGTAATGGCATTACTGTTACCAGCACAAAGGTTTGCAATGCACATGACAAATGCATTAGCAACTTCTTCTTCATGGTCAGTTAATTTCAGGAGTTCAGGTGATGCATTGGGCAAATGAAATACTTGTTTCATACACTTTTTCAAAGTTTCAACACATTCAGTAGAACTCCAGACAAGATCCTGCAAGCCTTGGTCTTCCATTCCACAAATACTGAGTCTGATTTTGTCTAAGATAATTTTACAGCAGCAAGAAATGTTATTTTCTGGAAGAGCATGCTGCTTTAAACAGGCCTCCAGTGATGTGAAATTTTGCAGAATTGCTTCTTCTGATGAATACATATTCATTTTGTAAAGAACTGTATTCCTTGCTATTTTTCAACAGAAATATGAACACAAATATAAGCAAGGCAATTTCCTGAAAAAATAGACAAGTAGGTAATTACATACACAGATTTGACAAAAAAAGAATGTTGGTACTTTCTTTTCTACAGTACCTATAGCCATAGACCGAAAGTTGACATAGATATTCAAATACAGGGTGCACCACAGAAACTTACTTATTTGAAAGGTCAATAAAAACAAAAGTACTTCAGTTATTGTTTTAAATTTTTTTTTTATTCGAGAAAACAGTATCCCAAATTTTTTTTCATACAGTTTTGAAAATTAAATCTCATGAATGACGGCCTCCATTGTGCATAAACTAATGAAGTCACTTTTTTTATAATGGTTTCCACTCTATGCAGCATATCAATCGGTATTTTGGCAATGAAATCGCGAATGTTGTTCTTCAGGTGTGCTATGGTCCGTAGTCGATCGACATAAACAAGAAATTTCAAATATCCCCATAAAAAGAAATCGCATGGAGTCAAACCTGGAGAGCGTGGCGGCCATTGGAGATCGCCTCTGAGAGAGATGAGGGGGTCGGAGAAATGATGTCGCAACAAATTCATTGAGTCTCGTGCTGTACCTATGTGTTGTGGCTCCATCTTGCTGAAACCACACGTTCCTAAAGTTCATTTCTTCGAGTCTTGGAAGAAAAAGTTCCTCGATCATGTTCCTGTAACGAGCTCCATTAACGGTAACTGCGCATTCGTTTTCTTAAAAAAATAAGGACCAATTATTCCCATTACCGACGTCGCAACCAGACAGTAACTCGCCCACAGTTAAGTGGCTTCTGGTGAAACTCACGTGGATTTACACCACACCAATAACGCATGTTTAGCCTATTGACGCAGCCGGAAATGTGGAATGTGGGCCTCGCCACTGAAAAAAAACGACCGCATCTTCAGGCAGGTTGTCAACCAGCATTTTACATGCATTTTGACGGGCAACAAAACCGCGTTCAGTTAATCCTTGCACTACAGCAAATTTATTTGAGAAACTTTGAGAAACAAACTTGGGAACTTTCCCCTTCAGATGCAACCCCTCTCGCCCCTCTACCCGACCAACTAACCGCACAGGAATTTTTTCAAATAAGTAAGTTTCTGTGGCGCACCCTGTAGTTAGAATATGTCTCCATTACCAGCAACAATAAAAATTTATTAGTTGATGACATGGATGAAAACACAATTTTTTTCATATATCTTTTAATATGAATCTATCATTATGCATTAGTTTTTAATAATCTTAGGTTCAGGAAGCCTGCTAATATAGAAAAATATCAGAGCTTGGTGAGATGGTGACTGACATAGGAAGAGGACCCCAATTTTTGGGCTCCCTCAGGTCAAGCAATACAAATGATGGTTATGAAGCCCAAAGAAGGCAAATAGTAAACAAATAGTATTTTGTAACAAATATATACTTCAATGATACTACTATCATGCACAAACTTTTTCTTAAGGTCAGATAAATACGTATATATATATCCTGCTTCATCTATTTTGCTCATCAAAAGTTTATTGTGAGCCAAGTTTAGTAGTTAGATACGCTATCCACCATTAATTTAGCTAATGCATGATGATTGGCAAAGTAATGCGCACATTACAAGTACCGTCAACTGGGGTGACTTTGGCCAAATTACACTAGTTTCTGCCGATCAAATTCCTACAAAATAGGAATGAGGCGTTGCTGGTGATTGTAAATTTGTAAATATACTACTTAAAGGTTCTTCTTTAAATATGTCATGTCTAAATTATGTCACTCTTATCGAAAAATAATTTTATTTTTTTAATTAGCTGGTTGGCCGATGTCACCCTGCAATGGGGTGACTTTGGCCACATGTGTTAAACCACAGTAAAAACATAGTAAAATGATTTCATGGCCAAATTCAACCATTAGTGGGGTGACATCGGCCATGTAGGGTGTTTTAAAAAATGATAATCAATGCCACTGTGTATTGTAACAATTGTAACTCAAAGATAAAACTCACATTTGCCAATCATATGCTTCATTAAAGCTGCTTTCTGTCAATTTCAAAGTTGATGTGAAAGTTTGAAAAAATCTAGTCCCCATGGGATCCCGAGCATTCTTCAAAAAACCGATGATGCTTGATAGAGGTGCGGCCCTTGAACTTACGTAAAGTGTGACCCTGTTTGTCAAGGTAATATTTAACCATAAAAGGCAGATCCATACCATCTAATGGGAAGCCCCAGTCTGAAAGCAAAATAATGTAGGATACTAAATCTGACTCCACCGTAGGTGAAAGAGTAGACTGTCCTAAATTTTTTCGCATTATGGCCAGCACATCGGTCGCTCAAAGGTGAACAAGGGACTTTGGAAATATTAGCAGCTTCTCTTAAGCTAACAGCCTAACACCATCTTTTATCAATTGCAATGCTTTCTTAAACAACTCCACATAATATATCCTATATGGCACAGAATCTAATCTATGTTTATAGCTGTGCATATTGTCTGAAAAAAAAAGAAAAATCTTCTATTATTCTAAACATTTATTGGCTGGCCAAAGTCACCCCATTTAGCCCATATTCTAGGTGACTTTGGCCAGCTAATTTTTCTAGCATATATACGTATTACATGTGGTAAAAAATGTACAGCCATTGATATAATCATTATACAAGATACCAAAATAAGTAAAACAAATCTGATTCCAAAATTCTTTTCATATCTCGAAATATTGAAGTTTGCACTCAGCCTTTTTTTTCTTTACAGTACTGTGGCATTCAGATTGTGTTGGTCAAGCAGGATATAAAATTATTGAAACGAAACAGTTTCCAATTGATAGATAAGAAAAAACTACATTGGATACCATTTTGTTCCAATCGCATAACACAACTACAACAGAAACAGATGGCCGTAAAACAAAATCATAAACGTTGGCCGAAGTCACCCCAGTGGCCGAATTCATCCCAGTTGACGGTAGTTGAATGGTTTACTAGTGCTTCAGCTATCAAGCTATTTTGCACAGGAGATCAAAAGTTAACATTGCCAGCGAGGCGGCCAGGGTGCAGAGTTTGCAAGCAGTGTTGCCAAGATATGGATTTTTGGCCCAAAGAGTTGCTAGCCAATTTCAAGATGCGTCGCCAGGTAATTTTCAAAAAGAAAGGGCTGCAAGCAACTTTGATGATATATCCCTTACTCTCCAATCTCCATGCACTGCAACCCTTACACTCATTGCAACTGATTTCTGGACAATATACACTGCATCCTGATCCATCCAACATACTGGAAACCTTAGAATTTGAATTTGGAGCGTGGTGACACTGGAAAAAATCTTCAGACGTCAGGCCTTTGTATCAGCTAGCTGCCACGCGTCACCCATTTTAACATTAATTTTTGTCATAAGGAGGGGAGAAAAAGAGGAGCAGGTACAAGATTCAAGATATTGGGACAAAATTTAGAGTGCAGAGATGGTTTTTGTAAGTATTAGATGCAAGTAATAGGTTGATGAAATAATAGAAACAAGGGATGGTAAGGGGAGGGAGAATACTTTCAATTTAAAAAGGTTGTTTTGTTGGTTATTGCTAGGTCCCATTAATTGCACGGTAGTTTCGAACATTTGTCATACGTACAAGTCTTATTAGCTCCCAACACACTAGATAAACACTTTCTTTCTCTTTACATTTTATTATTATTATTAGTTTATTACCATTACTTAACTTTTTATTGCTTGTTTCTTTACACTCTCCTGGCCTCCATTCTCTCCAGCCTCCTCCTCTCCCTCATTTTCCATGCAACCTTAAAAAAATGCTAACAACTATCTGTCATGGCAGTGGTTACCCCTGGTGACAGGTGCACCATCATTGCCATCTATTCATCTCCCATTCTCTCATACGTCACACCATCACTCTCATGCCTCTCATCCAGTATCACTCCAATCATTTCCAGTCTTTCACTCTCATCCGCTCCACTCTCATATGCCCCACTCATACGCTTCACTCCTATGGTAGGTATGCACTTGCGGTCTTTCAGATTTGCAGTGACTGCAATAATTTCAAAGTAATTTCTAAAATTTAACAATTTTAATCCAAATGTGTCAGCAAGATCTTCTGCATAAATTTTGCTGCTGATGGGTCACCAAAGTTCTTTTGATTTACACCCACTTCTGCACCCTGGCAAGGCAGGTCTCAATTTTTCAGAGTCGCAAATCAATCATCACCCACAAGGAGCAGTAGGTCTCAGATGTCCAGGTCTCAGTCTCTCAGATGTATTATGGCTATGTAGCCCCAGGCTCTCACAGCCATCATAACTACATGCTACGATACATAGTTCTAATTGTAGCGTGCCAGGGTTCAGAAAGTGGGTGAATATCAAAAGATCTTTGGCAACACATCAGCAGCAAAATTTATGCTGTCAGAAGATCACACAGTAAGGTTTCTGGTACTTCGGATGGATCAGGATGAAGTGATGCTTGTCTGGAAATCAGTTGCAATTATGCAGTGCAAGAAGAGTAAGGGATATACTATCAAAATTGTTAGCAGCATTTTCTTATTAAAAATTACCCAGTGACGCATCTTTAAAATGGCTGGCGACACTTTGGACTAAAAATCCATAGATTGGCAATGCTGCTTGCACCCTCAGCATCTTGGGTAGCATGTAGATCAATATGGTACATCAGCCATGTTGATAGTAAATTGCAATTTATGGAGATGCATAATTGGCAACCGTCAGGGCGGAGTGCCGGCAACCATCAGGGCGGCGTGCCGGCATCCAGTGGCATCCACCTTGGCATCTTTGGTGCATGAAATTTGTGTCCTTGACCTATGTTGTGCCATGCTTTACAGTCTGGAGGAGCCCCTACTTCTCTTTTGTTACAAAAAAAAACATGAATTACAACTGTTTTTCATGTTGTTGTTAATTGCCCGGGACCGCTGCTCAACGGCACCGAGAGACCAGCAGGTGAGAGACCAAAGGGAGGAAGTGGGACTGGAGCGTGTGCTTCATGGGACATTGCCCCGATGTCTGGGCGACGATAGGGTAACTGGGATGGTGGGGTCAGAGGGCACTGGCAAGGAACTGTGAGCAGACCAGGTCCAGATGCGCGGCTAATGGGAGGACACCAGTCTCCTGGTGGAGGTGGGAGATTGGGGCCATTTTGAGGCAGCCGGTGGCTAGTCTCAGTGCAGTGTTTTGAATTATCTGCAGGCTGGCAACTGCTGTGCGTGAGGCAACAGGGTACCAGATGGGGGCCGCGTAGTTGAGGATTGGGCGCGTGATGGCTCGGTAGATGACAATAATGTCCTCCTTGGAGAAGCCCCAGTTGGTACCAGCTAGGGCTTTTAAATGCCGACCGCCAAAAACAGATTTCAGATTCTTAATCTACATCCCAAAAAACATATAATTAAAAAAACACCCCTTTTTTGGATGCACTTAATCTAAAGTAATACCAGATTCACAATCAAGATCTATTATCAATACAAATATCATGCAAACTCCAATCTCCATAACATTTATTATGCTGAAATCAAGCTTTACTGTGTATCCAATACAATGAATACATCAAACCAAACTTTAATAGAAGCCTGAAGGTGCTTGTGCCAAATGATTAAATTTCATGTCTGAAAATTAGAAACTGTAAGTCAGTAACTGAACTTGGTATTTGCAGATAAGATTAGCTATACGATATAGTATATACAGATTTAGCATTCATTTCCTTCTTTTCTGGCATAAGCCATAATGATAAAGCCAATGTCATAAGTTTTCAGGCACACATTTCTGCGAACCTTTATTGTTTATAAAGATTTATTCCACCAATATAAATACGTATTAAAACTTTTGTTATGATTATTAAGATACCTCAACAAAATGCTCCGGTGTTAGCGTTATGAGAAGAGAGGATATTTGTTTCATGTGTGACAGAGGTGAGAGGGAAACTGTGGAGCACCTGCTGATGGAGTGTGACGCATATGAGCGGGAGAGACTGGAAATGATGAGAGTGATACTGGATGAGAGAGGTGAGGGTGAAGGAGTGGTATATGAGAGAACAGGAGACGAATAGATGGCAATGATAATAGTGGGCTTGTCAACAGCCACTGTGCACTGTGCAGAGAGTGAATGAATATTGCAAGATCTTTGGCGACCCTTCAGTAGCAAAATTTACGCCTTCAGAAGATCTTGCCGACACATTTAGATTGTAATTCTTGCATTTAATATATTTGTCAGTCTTTGGCACACTATTTAGAAAAAAAGTAAGGTTTCCGGTACATTGGATGGATAAGGATACAGTAAAGCTTGTCCGGAAATTGGTTGGAATGAGTTCCCACCAAAAAAACGTAAACAAAATGTAGTTGCGGTCACATTAGACTGCAGACTCACATGTTCAGTTGACACTTGCTGTACAATCGGACTGTTTTTATGGTAAAATTAGTTATTTGGGGTAACACGTGCATGCAACCTTGTAAATAAGTCCTGCATTACCCCAGACATCAGTAAATCCCGTACGCCTGCAATACCCCAGCATCAGTAAATCAACTAAAAGTGTACTACCATCTACAAGGATTTGCCAATCTTTCAGAGTTGTTTGAATTGGTGAAAATAGATCCTGAGTTTGATATAAAAATTAATATTTACGGTATTTATGAAGGACTGAAATATGTCTTAGCAAGATAAATTGGATAAAGAAGGTAAAAAAATAGTCTGTGTGGCACTGTTTTCCTTGAACATAATTACACATGAAACAAAAATGCCTCATAACCATATAGTCAAATGGGGTAAGACAGGATCGCAGCCTTCATGGGGTAAGAAAGGACCAGCCCATGGCATGCATTCTAATTGTACTGAATTCAATTTGACAAAAGAATATGTTAGAACAATCATTGCCTGT